ACAGCACAGCTGCTGCTATTCTCCAGGCAATCTGAGTTGGGGTGGCTGGGAAGTTAGACCAGAGATGGATAGCAACTCACTCAAGTTCGCACAGCACAGTGAATGCCATGGGGCATATCAGCCTGGGAGCTGATCCCTGGAATTGCTATTTCTAGAAGACCTCTTGGGGACTGGGTCAAGAAGGATAGTCCAAAGAAGACCAGTCTCTGGCTATATACCATCCTAAAAGCCTTAAGAGGACTTACAGATCTCCAAGGCCCTTCTACTGTTTTCTCTACATCCACTCCCTTCCTCTGCCTGGCCAGTTCTGGGTCTCAAAATTGTAAGGACTAATGTGAAATTTTAAATGGGAAATAGGTCAGAAAGGAAGCAGTCTCCAGGATAAACACTACTACAATAAGTAACTTTCTTATGCTCTTGTCATAACCAGTTAGGTATAGCAGTAGATGAACAGATTCCATTCTCAGTCACTGCATAACACACCAAGGATGTGCACTTAAGAAACAGAACTACAGGGAGAAAATGGCAGCACTTATCAAGAGACATAGATTTGTAAATAAAGCCACAAGATCCTAGATGGAAACACCCCACACTGAAGATGAATACTCTACCTCAAATTAATTCTAAAGATAGTTAAATTTCCAATTTTACTTTTTCAGAATTAGGTTTAAAATTCATCAAATGCTTATTTAGAAGACTATATTTTGAAAACAGCCATGAGAATTTTGAAAAAGAAGAATCGGGAAGCAGTAGTGTGACTTGCCCTCCTAAGTGTTACAGAATTACAATAATTAAATTAGTGAGGCTGGGACAAGAAGAGGAAACAACTTCCTAGAAGTGAAAGTGCTGAAACCAACCAAAGCCACCTGAGATTTTTGTACATAGAATGTGTCAGTTGCAAATGGATGGATTATGAAATAGTGCTGTGATGACTGGATAATCATTTGAGGGGGAACTTGTTACATATCGCACACCTTTGATCAAAATTAATTTTAGGATTGGGATTGTGGCTCAGTGGCAGAGCACTTGCCTCACACATGTGAGGCACTGGGTTCAATCCTCAGTACCACGTATGGAAAAATAAAGGTACTGTGTCCATCTACAACTAAAAATATTTTAAAAATTAATTTCAAGTGAACTAAAGGTATAAATAAAGGTAAATTATTGAAAGCTAATATACAGGTAGATACTTTTAGAAGGTTAGATTTGGAAAATTATTTAGTATGATATACTATACATACAATATATAGAGAGAAAACAATAACTTTGGCTACATTTAATAAAATTAAACTCCAGCATAGCAAAAATAAAACAGTATAAGCAAAAACTAAAATGTGGGAAAGTGTAGCAGATGTGTCAGAGAAAAGTCTGTGGTGTATGGATGGCTATTAAAATTAAGGGAAGGAGGAGCTCATAATAAAAAGATAAAGGATATCTGTGGATTGTTTAAAAAAACACAAGCAACCACATGCAGAAAAAAAAAGGAATAACTAAGGAAATGCAAATTGCAATGACAATGAGATACTACTTGTTTTGCTTTGAATAGGAAAAGATTAAAAAGATCATCAAGATGCATTTCTGTTGAGCGTGTTCATTGACACATCAACCTTTCTTGAGGGCTATTTAACAGGTAGCTATCAAGAGTCTAATTTTAAAAAGCATCTTATTTATCAATCTTATTTCTAGGAATTTATCCTAAGGAAATAATTGGGCAAATTTCAAAGGATATTCATGGTAGCACTGTTATTAGAGCAAACATTGGAAACAAACTAAATATGTACTAATAAAGAATCAGCTAAATAAATTAAGATCCATACAATGGAATATTAAACAATCTTTTAAAATGATTATGTAGATACATTGATATGAAAAATGTTTTTACTATTTGTAAACAAAAAAAGGAACAAAAAGTGTATTTTTTGTAAATGTGTGCACAAAGAAAGCTGTTTAAAAATCATATACCAAAATATTTTGCTGAATTGTCTAAAATGTTTTATTTTACTTTATCATAATACGCAGTAACAGTGTTTCCATTTGGGAGACCTTAAGTCTCCTATCAGAGGTTCTATTCCCCTTTCACTGCCCTTCCCCCATTTCCAAGACTAGTGATTCCCACTGCAGCCCTGTTCTCACAGTAAGGCCATTGATAGGTGATTGTCCCAGTTGTTCAACAAGTTCTGTAAAGGCCCATCTCAGCTGGTTTATCTGGGGTCCTCAGGACTGACATATACTAGGTATTCAAGAAATATTACATGAATGAATGTTTCAGCGAATGATCCATGAATTGGAGGAAATCGAACTGAAGCCCTGAGAATCCAATTGTACTCTCCCAGAACCGAAGGTGAGGAGATACAAGCCTGACTGTGGAAGTTGGGTGTGGATTTCTGTCTTTCTCAAGGCTCAGCAGCACTGTGACCCCCTTGCCTGCAGAACCTTGTCTGCCTCAGGTCTGAAACATAGAACGTCGCACCTCCCCCAGGACTGTATGCCAAACACGACAGCACACACCAAAGATTTAGCAGAGTGGCAATACACAGTAGGCGCTTAAAAAAAAAAAAAAAAACAGACGCAAATAGATGGACGATAAACATCACTATCCAAGAGTTGTCCTGTGCTCAGATACTCCCAAATGGAAGGTTGTGGAGATAGGAAGCCTGGCGACACTCGCCAGCCGCCTCCCTTGCGCGTGCTCTGCAGTCACGGAGGCTTGAAGAGCTGTGGCGGCTGGGGCCCAGCCTTGGGTTCCTGCCACGCTCTCAGCGCCAATGTCCTGGATTCCCCACCTTCAGATGATCCCTCTGCTCGCTCCTTACGTTGGGAGTGGAGGGCCACTGAAGCTGATGCGTACGGTCACATCTGGGCCCAGCGGGTGCGGGGAAGGGCCTCAGGCCAGGCTGGGGTCCGCGACGCACAGCAGGAGCCCGCGCCCGGAATCATGCAGATTGTTGGCGTTATGTAGGCTACCCTCGGGTTCGAATTTTGCTCGGTTCCGTACTGGTTGTGAGATGTGGAACAAGTCACCTCACCTCTGGACGGAGTTGGATTTCTCGCCTGACAAGTGAAATAATGGGACCTGCCTCCTAGAGGGTGGTGCGACTTCATCAAGCCACTGTAGGGGTAGCGCTAGGCGCAGGGCCCCTCACCAGAGGAGTGCGCCAAAAGCCCAGTGCCACGATAAGAAGGGTTCTTTCTGACCCCGAAATTGTGCATAGTCCCTGGCCTGGGTTAGGCCGGATCTGTGGCTTTGGCCACGGAAAGGGCCATTTTAGCGCGACAGGGACACCAAACCAGGCTGCCCTGCTCCCTATCCACCCAGGGGTCTGCTTGGCCAAAGGTTTTAATCAGCGGAATTCGTGAGTTGGTCTGAAGGAAAACGATGTCGTTCTGTGTGTATATGTTTGTGTACACGTGTGTGTAGCCACACGAACAGGAGAGTCTGATTGTGCGGGGAAATGTGAGTTGGGCAGTCTGCAGAGACTCCTTCTCCCAAAGGCGCTTTCCGCCTCTTCTCTGCGCCCCCTTCCTGGGTGAAGAGTTTCAGCCAAACTAACGGAATCCGGCTAGAGAAGGGATAGGGACGGGAGGGGCAATTCCGTCCCGGAGCCACCGGTTTGGGGATAATTACTTTTAATGTCAGAAAGATTTAGTTTAATATCATCTCTATTAGGCTGCCGGGAGGGTAATTAAACGCGACGCGTCGCAGCCGGCAAACAGATGGCGTCTGCTTGCTCCGAGGCCGCGGGCAAACAGCGCAAAAGTCAACGCCTCCCAGGTCCCCCATCGGTGCCCCCAGCCCTTCTCCTAGTTAGCGACACAAAAATCCTTATCCTCCGGCCCCCAGCCCCAGCCTCGCCCCAGGTACCCTCCAGAGTCATCTCTTTGGACCTCACCACTGCCTGGGCATAGGTGTGGAGGAGATGGGTTGTTCGTGGGTAGGGTTGGGGGCATTTTCTTGGCTGGGCTCTTGGCTCAGCAGACGTGTCAGCAAATCATTCTGAGCTTGGAGGACATGTACGCAAGTAAGTACGTGAGGACCAGCCCTCGCTCTCCGCGGCATTTGTCCCGAAGGTCTATGACTTTCTCTGCCAGGGGCCCAGCCATAGGGGCAGGATTGGGACTTCATGGATGAGCAAGGGCAGACTGCGTGAGGATATGCCAGTATGGGTGTGCAGTCACCTGAGGTAGGAGTCTGTAGGCGTCAGGCTGTGCGGTCATTCCAGGAGAATATGCTTACAAGAGCAAGAGAGCTGTGAGGTCAAACTTTTTCTAAAGGGGCACCGTGGGTGGGAAGGCAGCACCATAGGTGAGAGCTCCCCCAGGACTCACTGCATATGTGTGTGTGTGTGTGTGTGTGTGTGTGTGTGGTGTGTGTAGGTGTGTCCAAACTTTTGCTGAGATCATGCTTGCTGTGTTGTGTATGGGTGTGAAGCCACATTAAGTTGTGTGTGTGATGATGGTGGTGAGGTAGCCCCTGCTGCCTCAACCTAAGCATACTTTCCCCACAGGTAGTACCTCATCTGTGTGCCCTTGCAGCCTTCTGGTTCAAATCAGGAGGAACTAGCCCCAAGTGGTCTAGGAAGCTGGGCAGAGGCATCTTGCCCTGTTGAGGTGTGGGTATAGTGACCTTGGCCCAGGACAGGTTTATTTGGCCTCTGGGCATAACGCGTTATGAGCACCCCAACTTCGGAGGCGTGGGGGGAAAAAGTGTGGATACCGGGCCTGAGGGGATGTGAACACCAGGAAAGAGGATCAAGAGAACTGAGAGGCTGGTGCGCTAGGGGTGAGGGATATTCCCTATGGTGTGGCTGGGTTGAGTTCCAGGATGCACCCCTTCCTCTTCCTAGGAGGAGGTTCCTTTCACAGGAGAGCTCGGGTTCCCAAGTACTCCTCTCAGGACCCTTGGCTCCCGCGAGTTCATCCGCACCCGAGTACCGGAATTTCACTGTGGCCTGGCCTCAAGCAAGAGAAATGATACCGAGGACACCACCCCACCCCAAAGCTAAGCGGATTTGTATAGTTTATTTCGTTTTGGGTTTCAAATATTTTCCCCTAAACCTTTGTCCAAAAAAAAAAAAAACGCTTTGGGAGCTGGCGCCTGGCGACCACCACCACGAAGAACACCCCCAACCCAAGCCAGGGCGAGGTCATAGCTGGGATTCACTGGGCAGCCACAAGCTCTAGGTGGGGCCTGGGGCCAGTGCTCCCAGAGGACTTACTATCCCCAAAGCGCTGTCTTCACGCTCTCACATCGCGGGAGCCCATCTCCTTTAGCTCCTACACCCATTCACAGGGAGCCTGGGATCAGGATTGGATCCCTATCACGGACTGTCCAGGTCAAAGCTCCCTGGAGCCCGAACCTGTTGAACTTTCTGGAAGTTCTCCACTCGATTCCTTCATTCATCTTCTCCCAAGTCCCTCCAGCCTCATCTTCTGGGTTGACTTCTTCCAGCGGAGCATGCCATGGCTCTCCTGGGGTGTGAGGTTCTGGAGTCTGCGGAAGGAGCCCTGTTGGTGGTGGTGCCTTCCTTCCCCAGTCCCTAGTTCCAAAGGTCAGAAGCAGCCAGAAGGTCAGGGAGCCTAGTTCTGCTGGCGGCAGAGAATGCATCCTAAGGCCCCGAGGCCCTGAACCTATTCTGTGGGCCCAGTGTGACCGCCCCTGAAACGGCATGGACAGACCCTCGCTTCTCTGGAGGTTCAAAGAGCATCGCAAAAAACGCACGATCGGGAGTGGAGGGAGAACGACGAGGAAGCTCACTTTTTTCATTATTTAAATGAATTTTCTTTACTCTGAAGGAAGAAAAAGAGAAAAAAAGTAGAGATTAAAAACGAGAGTGACAGAACATTAGCGCATTAGAGGTCACAACAGGGGAAAAAAAAAAAAAGGTACAGAGCTAGAAGTATAGTTGGGAGAAACCAAGGGCGACCCTGCCCAGGACCTCAGCATTTATTCCAGCAGTTGCCATTCTAAGGGTAACAACTCCAATTCGAAACCTGTTACCTCCTCTGCAGATGGAGCTGTTCCTCAGAGGTCAACACAGGTAGAATAAGACGTAAGTGAAACCTGTTCCTGAGCAGGGGGCGGGGGTCCCGCAGCGACCTTGTCTTCTTCCGGGAAGTATCGAACAGATGCGCGACCATCCATCCTTCAAGAGGATCTGGGGAGATGCATACACTTTTTACTTTCATTTGAAAAAAAAAAAAGAGAGAGAGAGAGAGAAAGCCAAAGTTTTCGTTAATTTAAAACATCGACAAAAGAATCCCACCACCAGAAGAGAAACCGACGAAGAGAAAAGAGGAAAGTAAACAGTAAAGGGGCCGGAACGAGATGGGGGGGTGTGGTGGGGAAGGAGAGAGGAAAGCTTTGCTCAGAGCGCGCGGGGTTCGCCGCTGGCACCGACAGAAAGCGCAATCTCATTTCTTCTGAGCCCCTCTTTTAAAAACAAAAAATACCAATAAACCACACTTACCCTCCTTGATGCTTAACGTATCAGGACTTTTAAAATGAAGGAATCGAGGTTTAAAGGCTTTAGGGAAAAAAACAAAACAAAACCTCCCCAACTACCACAAACGCGTTGGACTTGGGAGCAAGCCGAATCACAGTCGAAGGAGACAGGAAACATTGCCTTGGCATTTATGCCATGATCACCCTCCCTTGCCCGCACCCGAGCCCCCGTTGTATTCCCACCCGACCGCGGTAATTGAATTGTCATATGCCCCCATCCCGCCCTAGGCCGCCAGGGCCACTTGGGAAGCTCGGCCTTGCCAAGCGCCCCCGGCCAGTGAGAGTAGTGCAGCCTAGCCGGCGCCCCAGAAGCGGAGGGGTTACACACGTCTACGTAGAGTCACACCGGACACGGTAATTAGGAGCAATTCACACGCTCTTGGGCGCACGGAAACTTCTTGTCACGATATTTTCAACGCTCCTCCTCGCCCACTTTTTTCCACTCCTTCCCTGGCGCGCCCCCTCCCCTCCTCGAGGCACACAGTAGAGCTTTTGGAGTTTCGAATCTTTCGGACACAGTAGAATGAGGGGCTCCCCGGGCGCGGGCCCGGCCAATCAGAGCGCTGTCTGCCTCCCCTGGCCAATGGCAGGCGCCACATTGTTGTCCAATTCTGTCTAATGGAGCCCTAAGGAGCAACAATAGAGCGGGCGAGAGGCTCATTGAGAGTCTGGCAGCGCCGGGCAACTGGGCCCCGGCTGAGCGCAGCGTCCGGCGCGCACCGCGAGGGGACCTGGCACGGCGAGAGCTTGGTCGCGGGTTCCAACCAACCGGCCCCAAATCGGGTCCCCGGCCCCGATTTCCGACGTGAGGGTTGGACTGCGCTGCTGGCTGAGGGGGTCCGGAAGTTCGGACATGGTGACTGAAGGAGGGTGACGTGGTCAGATCAGGGGCCGGGGGCAAGGGGAAGAGGCCAAGAGTGCAAGCGTCACGAGCAGAGCTGGGAGGCGCGTGCAGCGCCAGCGGAGGAGGAGGATCCCGGAGCCCAAGGCAGGTAGTTGAGGGCAGCCGGGAGAGCAGGGGAGGCGACCTGGCTTTCGGCCCCTGTTGAGAAGGCCCAGGTCCAGCGGGCCTGAGGGACTGCGCGGCCTGAGGGTCTGTGGAAACAGAGCACCCGCATACCGGGAGGAGGTTTGGGATTCTCGGTCGGAGACACCAGGATCTGTCCTGGGCGCTCGTTGGGACAAGAGGGAGGGGAGTCCCGGCAGAGAAAGCCGCGGCGGAACCTAGAAATTGGGCCTGCTTGGGCCTTCTGGGGCTTCGGCGCAGGTGGGACTCCTGTGTCCTTTCATGGCCAGTTTCGGAGGCAAGTCCCCTGCCTCGTTGCGGCCTGCTGGGCCCTCCAAGTCCCCGGAACCCAAATGGGAGGCTGAAGGCGGGAATCTGCGCTCTAGCGGGGTCCCGTGGGGCCCCAGGATAAGGAGGGCGTGTCTGTACCCAAACTGTGAGGGGTGGGGAGGGCGGTGTAAGGAGGTTAGCGAAATAGATCCCCCTTAGCAATACCTAACTTTTCTCCGGATACTTCTTCCTACTCCAGGCTGCAAGGCTAAAAACTGCGCCACAGTTTTGCCCAATACCCACCACTAGCCTTTGCCTAGGTTTTTTTCTTACCTGTTTCGGGTGTCACGCTGCGGACCCTGGGACTCAGGCACCTCTATCAGCTGTTTGTCGATGTTTTCCTTGCCCCTCAAACCCCGTTTGGGCTCGGTTTGCCTCCTCGAAGAAAGTTTCTTCTGCTGGATTTTCTCTTTAATAGTCCTCAAGTCTACTAGACTCAACTCCACACCCATTTTCTCTCTCACTTTCTGGAGACCGGGCACCGTGGAATCATACCTTTAAATGTCGTAAGGCCACAGGCCTAACTTTACTCTAGAGTTTGTTTCTTAGCCCGCACTCTATTAATGCGAAACTATTTCTGTTTTCAATTTCACCTCCAACTCTCCTGCCCCACATGAACAACAAACAAACAAAAAACAAAACAAACAAAGTCAGGCCCTCTCTGCCCAACTCCGCACCTGGACATTCCTCTCCTCTTCACCCTTCCACCAAACTGCACATTGTACTCTGGGTTTTCCTGTTTTGCCTCTGGCATGAGCTTGTTGGTCCAAAATTTGCTCTGTAATCTGACTCCCGTAATGCAAACATTTCACTCTTCCCATCTCACCCCAATTAACCTAAGTTTGGGGGAATAATATTGTCTTTTTAAAACTCTCCTTACATATATTTGAACCAGTGACTTCCAAACTTTATATGTCTTTTTGCTTTTTTTCTGGAGGAATCACTGATTCTAACAAAATCTTACCCCAGACGTGTAATGAATCAGATATAAAGCAGCTCATGGGAGTGCGTTGTGGAAGCTCCGATTTACTTCCTAATGCACACCCTCCTAGCAATTTGGCGACCACGAGCCAAACTTCCACCCAGTGGAAACCAAGGTTTCTCTTTCTAAACTTTGGTTCTTGGAGACTGTGCTTTAGTCTAGCACACGGCGCTTTCCTTAAGCAGGTCTCTTCCACTTCCCCATCTTCTTCCACGTCAGGTCGTGCCATGGAGCTGCGTTCGGAGCTGCCCAGCGTACCCGGCGCGGCGACCGCGGCGGCGACAGCGACGGGACCACCCGTGGCATCAGTGGCGTCAGTGGCTGCGGCTGCAGCAGCGGCCGCGTCGCTACCAGTGAGTGTGGCAGGCGGCTTGCTGCGGGCGCCGCCGCTGTTGTTGAGGGCGGCGGAGAAGTACCCGCGGACCCCCAAGTGCGCACGCTGCCGCAACCACGGGGTGGTGTCGGCACTCAAGGGCCACAAGCGCTACTGCCGCTGGAAGGACTGCTTGTGCGCCAAGTGTACGCTCATCGCGGAGCGCCAGCGCGTCATGGCGGCACAGGTGGCGTTGCGCAGGCAGCAGGCTCAAGAGGAGAACGAGGCGCGCGAGTTGCAACTGCTTTATGGCACTGCCGAGGGCCTGGCGCTGGCCGCCGCCAACGGCATCATCCCACCACGACCGGCCTACGAGGTCTTTGGCTCAGTGTGCGCCGCCGACGGCGGGGGGCCAGGAGCCGGAGCGCCCGCAGGGACCGGAGGTGGCTCAGCGGGCACAGGGGGCGCAGGTGAGAACTCGGTCAGGGATGGGGGGGAGCTGCAGGGTCCCAGCAGGGATGTGCGCCTAGTCTTGGTACTGGAAGAGTAGAATCCCTTTCTCCAAACGTTTGAACTGCTGGAGTTCACTGCGCACGCGGCTCCAATATTGAGTACAGACACATAAACTCTCCTTCCTCCCCTTTCAGGACCATTTATTTGCACTTTCTTCCTTTCTCTTACCGGGCCCAAATGTGGAAACTTTAATCTTACTCTCCTCCACGCAGACGCAGGCAGGTCTCTACCTCTCTCCTTACTTCCTTTTATCTATTCCGTGTGGCTCACATCTTTTCCTTTGCTCTGCTTTCTTAGCCATCTTTCCCTTTGCTCCAACCCTACTATTTTTTTTTCATAAATCCGACTCCTTCCAAGCCCCTCCAAGTCTGCATTTCTTTCTTTAGTTACTGAAGACACCCTCTTTCATTTTCCCAAGGAGATTCCTTTTCTTGCGTTCCTGATGCTCCCTGGACAACGGGTTGCTATGTCCCACTTCTTTCTCTATCAGACTTGGTTTTCTTAGGGTGCACATCTTCTGGCTTCCCTTTTCCTCATCTCTGTCTATTCCCTCCCTACACCCACCTTCTTCTGTGCTCCTGTGGCTTTTTCTGGGAGGACAGAAATTAGACTGGGGCTGTGGAACAGGGGACTCAGCTCTGGAGGGGAGAACTTCTCTGGTCTCAGTTTTGGAGAAGGTGGATTAGAATATGGGATTTACTGTCTGTAGAGAGGCTTGTGACCTCCTTCATAATCATGACTACTGGGCTGCCCAGGAAAGGGTTGGCTTTTGGAATCCTGGGATGGAACAGGGTCTTCTATACAGTGTGAGGTATGGTTAGAAGTTCTGCTGGGTCCTGTTTGAACCCTGGACCAGGATACTTCTCTAGGGGAGAGGGGAACTGGGAGATAGTTAAGAGTGGGGGTGTTGAGGCACAGATGTGGCAAGAACAGTACTGAATATTAAGATTACAGGGTCCAGTGGTAGGGGTTCTGGGTACAGAAAGAAAGTAAGCCCTAGGGGGCAGGGAATAAAGGAACATGGGAGCCTAGAGAGGGAAGAATACTGGAGCAAAAAACAAGAAGGGGCACTGGAGCCTCCTTAATACAGGTTTTGGGATTCTGAGAGGCAACTGGGATCCAAAGGGCTTAGGTGCTGTGGGTGCCTATTCCCCTTAATCACTTGTCACATCCTTATTTTCTCCCGTCTCAGAAGCCAAGTTGCAGAAGTTTGACCTGTTCCCCAAGACACTGCTTCAGGCAGGCCGCCCGGGCAGCCCACAGCCACCGCAGGTGAAGCCCTTATCGCCCGACGGCGCAGACTCAGGTCCCGGGACGTCGTCCCCAGAGGTGCGGCCCGGCTCAGGCTCGGAGAACGGCGACGGCGAGTCCTTTTCCGGGTCGCCTCTAGCCCGGGCCTCCAAGGAAGCTGGTGGCAGCTGCCCAGGTAGCGCGGGCCCTGGGGGCGGCGGCGAGGAAGACAGCCCGGGTTCCTCCAGCCCTCTGGGCTCCGAATCCGGTTCCGAGGCTGACAAAGAAGAGACCGAGGTCGCGCCGGTTCCAGGGCTGGGCGGAGGCCCTGGTTCAAGGCAGCGGACGCCGCTGGACATCTTGACGCGCGTCTTCCCGGGCCACCGGCGAGGAGTCCTGGAGCTGGTGTTGCAGGGCTGCGGCGGCGACGTGGTGCAGGCTATCGAGCAAGTGCTGAACCACCACCGTGGAGGCCTGGCGGCCAGTCTGGGCCCCACTGGGATCCCGGATAAGGCTGCAGTGGGTGCAGCAGCAGCTGCCGACGACGCGTGGCCGGGCCGCGTGGACGCCGCTGCCGCTGGGGGGCCGCTGCCAGCGCCGCTGCAGGCTGGGCCCGCCGCACCCCCGCACCACAGACCCTTGCTGGCCGGCGCTATGGCACCCGGGGCGTTGGGCTCGCTGAGCAGTCGCTCAGCCTTCTCGCCACTGCAACCCAATGCCAGTCACTTTGGCGCGGATGCGGGCGCCTACCCGCTGGGTGCACCTCTTGGCCTGAGCCCATTGCGCCTGGCCTACTCCGCAGCGGCAGCACACAGCCGTGGCCTGGCCTTTATGGCACCCTACTCCACCGCGGGCCTGGTGCCCACGCTGGGCTTCCGCCCGCCTATGGACTACGCCTTCAGCGATCTCATGCGTGACCGCTCGGCCGCAGCCGCAGCGGCAGTGCACAAGGAGCCGACCTATGGGGGCGGCCTATACGGGCCTATGGTCAATGGCGCCCCAGAGAAGCAGTAGGACCAAGGGCCCAGCAGCCTGGCGGCTCCCAAATATTAACCCCAGCCTTGTTCCCGCGGGCCGCCGGCCCCACTTCTCCTGGCGCGCTCTTTGCGCCCTGGCTGGAGTCTTCTGGCTCGGATATGTTTTTTTGGTTTTGTTTTGGAGAGTGGGTGAAAAGAGCTGAGCAA